AAACACAGACACGGAGACACACAGACAGACACACAAGCAGAGAGAGACAACACAGAGACACACACAGAGAGAGACACACAACATAGACACACAGACAGACACACAAGCAGAGAGAGACAACACAGAGACACACACAGAGAGAGACACACAACATAGACACACAGACAGACACACAAACAGAGAGAGACAACACAGAGACACACACAGAGAGACACATAACATAGACACACACACACACAGAGATACACACAACATAGTCACACACAGAGAGAGACACACAACATAGACACACAGAGAGAGACACACAACATAGACACACACACAGAGACACAACATAGACACACACAGACACACAAGCAGAGAGAGACAACACAGAGACACACACACAGAGAGAGACACACAACATAGACACACACAGAGAGACACAACATAGACACACACAGAGACACACAACATAGACACACACAGACACACAAGCAGAGAGAGACAACACAGAGACACACAGAGAGAGACAACACAGACACACAGAGACACACAACACAGAAACACATAGACACACAACATAGACACACAGAGAGAGACACACAACATAGACAAACAGAGAGACACACAACATAGACACGCAGAGAGAGAGGAGGTGGAATTGCCATCTATGTTCGTAATACTATTGCACGTTCAATAGCTCACTCCTTGTTTTAAAAATGTTGCTTGGAAGGTCTGACTCTCAAAATAACTCTCCCAAATAATCAACAGATATTGGTAGTGTGCTGCTATCGACCGCCTAGTGGGAAGGATGTTGAAGCTGCATCTGCCTGAGAGAGCTTTTTGGGGGCGTCCCTAAAGGTGAAATAGTTTTACTGGTAGGAACGAAGTTGTAAACTGAGTGTACCAGCCTGCAATAGATTAATGTGTCCGTCCGTCCGTCCCCTTTCAATACTTTAACGAAGTGAAATCTCGTGCTGTTGGGTGTAAAATCAGCAATAGACAGCGCAGAGACTTGTCCTATCAGCCCACCCTGCAGGGACCTGTTAGTGGGTGATCTAAATTAGAATTGGCTAATCCCGCCGGCCGTGGCCACAAATTTTGCAGATGAATTTAACCTGTTTCAATAAAAAAATGTCCCCACAAAACCCAACCTAAAAAATCCGGGACAGTCATCTCTGCTTGACGTCCTATTGACAAATGCCCCTCACAATTTCACACTGACTGGTGTTCTGGGTAATAACCTTAGTGATGACTCCTTCATTTTTGGGGTGAGATCATCAGCCAGACCCAAAGCCCCCCCTAAATAGGTTGAGAAGCACTCTATGAGACACTTCAGCACTCAGGCATTTACTAATGATGTGCTTCACTCAGATATTGACAAGGTCTGTGATATGCCCAACCTGACTACAACTTGGGAGACCTTCAGGTACACGTTTCTCCAAATTCTTAACAAACATGCTCCATTGGCTAGATTTAAAACTAAAGGTAACTGCCCACCATGGTTTGATCCTTTGATTACAAAGCTCATTAAAACTAGGGACAAGGCTTGGGCATGTGCTCAGAAAAGTAATTTGGTCAATGACTGGCTAGAATACAGGATTTTAAGGAATAGATGCGTCAAAAAAATACGACATGCAAAAGACACACAGAGACACACAACACAGACACACAGAGAGAGACACACAACACAGACACACAACACAGACATACAGAGAGACACACAACACAGACACACAGAGAGACACAGACACACAGAGAGACACAGACACACAGAGAGACACACAACACAGACACACAGAGAGAGACACACAACACAGACACACAGAGAGACACACAACACAGACACACAGAGAGACACACAACACAGACATAGAGAGAGACACAACACAGATACAGAGAGAGAGACACACAACATATACACACAGAGACACACAACATTGACACAGAGAGAGACACACAACATAGACACACAGAGAGAGACACATAGACACACAACATAGACACAGAGACAACAGAGACACAACAGAGACACACAGAGACACACAACATATACATACAGAGAGATACACAACATAGACACAACAGAGACACAGAGAGACATACAACAGAGAGACACACAATAGAGACACAACACAGACACACAGAGAGACACACAACACAGACAGAGAGAGACACACACACACAAATACAGACACACAGAGAGACACACAACACAGACACACAGAGACACACAACATAGACACAGAGAGAGACACACAGCATAGACACACAAAGAGACACAGCATAGACACACAGAGAAAGACACACAACACAGACAAACAGAGAGACACAACACAGACACAGAGAGACACACAACATAGACACACAGAGAGAGACACACAACATAGACACAGAGACACACACAACATAGACACACAGAGACACACAACAGACACACAGAGACACACAACATAGACACAGAGACACAACAGAGACACAGAGAGAGACACACAACATATACACACAGAGAGAGACACAACATAGACACACAGAGACACACAACACAGACACAGAGAGAGAGACACAACAGAGACACACACAAGAGAGACACAACACACAGAGAGACACACAACACAGACACACAGAGAGACACACAACACAGACACACAGAGAGACAACACAGACACACAGAGAGAGACACACACAACACAGACACACAGAGAGATACACAACACAGAAATAGAGAGAGACACAACACAGACACAGAGAGAGACACAACAGACACACAGAGAGACACAACATATACAAACAGAGACACACACCATAGACACAGAGAGACAACAGAGACACAACAGAGACACACAGAGAGAGACACACAACACAGGCATAGAGAGAGACACAACACAGACACAGAAAGACACAACAGACACACAGAGAGACACACAACATAGACACAGAGAGACACACAACATTGACACAGAGACACACAACATACACACACAGAGAGAGACACACACCACAGACATAGAGAGAGACACAACACAGACACAGAGAGACACAACAGACACACAGAGACACACAACATAGACACAGAGAGACACACAACATTGACACAGAGAGAGACACACAACATAGACACACAGAGACACACCACAGACATAGAGAGAGACACAACACAGACACAGAGAGAGACACACAACAGACACACAGAGAGACACACAACATAGACACAGAGAGACACACAACATTGACACAGAGAGAGACACACAACATAGACACACAGAGAGAGACACAACATAGACACACAGAGAGAGACACAACATAGACACACAGAGACACACAACAGAGACACAGAGAGAGACACACAACAGAGACACACACAAGAGAGACACACAACACAGACACACAGAGAGAGACACAACACAGACACACAGAGAGACACACAACACAGACACACAGAGAGACACAACACAGACATAAAGAGACACAACACAGACATACAGAGAGACACAACACAGACACAGAGAGAGAGACACAACAGACACACAGAGAGACACACAACATATACACACAGAGACACACAACATAGACACAGAGAGACAACAGAGACACAACAGATACACACAGAGAGAGACACACAACATATACACACAGAGAGAGACACAACATAGACACACAGAGACACACAACAGAGACACAGAGAGAGACACACAACAGAGACACACACAAGAGAGACACAACACAGACACACAGAGAGAGACACACAACATAGACACACAGAGACAACAGAAACACAGAGAGAGACACACACACAACACAGAGAGACACAGAGAGACACAGAACACAGAGAGAGACACACAACACAGAACACAGAGATACACAGAGAGAGAGACACAACACAGAACACAGAGACACACAGAGAGAGACAGAGACACACAACACAGAATACAGTTAGTTCCATAGTTCCATTTATTAGGTATAGCCCTGTGAGCCATTCGGCTCTTGAATCGGGTGCAACCTCAACAAACAAAAAACATGAACAAGAAAACATCTTAAAGTGATTATGTCACTGTGCAAAACAGAAAATCCAGGAAAAAAACATCTAAATATTCCTGAAATAGCACAACAACAACCACAAGACAACTAAGATTAAGGCCATCAGTCTAACTCCGTACTACAATAAACAAAAACATGGCCAAAACAAAAAAAAACTTTTCGAAATCACCAAAATAAAAGCCATAAATGCAATCTAACAGTGATTATAGGGACTGTGACCGAATTTTTTTACAATAAACTACATAAATAACATGTAACACCAAACCCTAGAGCCATATTTTAGGCCACTGAATAGCAGTGGCAGCTAGGGGTGTACAACTCCTCTAGAGCAGTTTTGAGTGAAGATCTCATAGGTAGTGATTCAAGTTGCAGTTTATTGGCAATAGCATTCCAGACCCCAGGGGCATCAATAGTAAAGGCCCTTCCTCCGGTTTTTGTACGGCAATAGGGAATGCGAAGCTGGTGAATGAGCGAAGACCTGAGGTCAAATTTGTTCTTTGAAACAGAGAGGAGATCCAGTAGGTAGTCAAAGAGAGAGAGACACACAACATATACACACAGAGAGACACACAACACAGACACACAGAGACACACAACATAGACACAGAGAGAGACACACAGCATAGACACACAAAGAGACACAGCATAGACACACAGAGAAAGACACACAACACAGACAAACAGAGAGACACAACACAGACACAGAGAGACACACAACATAGACACACAGAGAGAGACACACAACAGACACAGAGACACACACAACACAGACACACAGAGACACAACAGAGGCACACAGAGACACACACAACAAAGACAGAGAGAGACACAACATATACACACAGAGAGACACACAACATAGACACAGAGAGACACACAACACAGACACACAGAGACACAACAGAGACACACAGAGACCCAAAACTAATATTGAAGCGAGCGCATCCCGATGCGTTATGAAATGTAGGCGCGGGCCTTACTGTGGGCGATGGGGCTTGCGTGTGGATAACGGGCTGGGGTTACCCTTGTTACCGCGGTTACCTCGGCACTCGATAGCGCCTTTGTGTATATATATGTTGTGTATATATAAAAGTTTATTATAAACGAGCGTCTACGTTGTGAAGGCCAATTTAAGGACACTGCACGCCGTCCCTTTAAAAAAGAACCCCACGCGGCCCTTTATATTTGCCAGCGCCGGTAAGCGATCGGCGGCGTCCCATTGGTCAAATAGCCGTGCGCGTGCGCAGCCCTCGACCAATGGGGAAGCGCTAACGTTTGGCATTGACCTCATCCGCGCTACGAAATAAAATTCGAGCCCCCCACCCCACCGCCCTCCACCGTTTGACCTCGTCACCCTGTTTTTTTTGGGGTGGGGGGTGTTGTTGGGGGATCTTGGTAGAATCTTCCGGAAGAGATATTTAACTTCCAGAAGACGTCTTCAACCACCACCCACTACCTCGTTCAAGAAGATGTGAACTTCTGCCGGAAGATTGATTCCCGACGCCGCGGAAGACGTCTTCCAGAAGCGGTAGACGCAAGAGGAATCGCGGTCCGCCCAAAGATACGCGCGGTGGACGTCTTCCGGAAAGAGTAGACGTCTTCCAGTAGTGGTAGAGATCTTCCGTCACCCGGTAGACGTCTTCCACAAGCGGTAGACATCTTCTTTGGTTCTTTCGGTAAAGTCACCACGTAGAATGAGAATAAAATAATAAATTGATAAAATAAAATAACACAATAAAATTCTCACGACGTTTCGGCCTCCAGCGCTGTCCTCCAGACAGTCTCGTCCCTTCACCTGATGAAGGCCGCTTGTGTTGTGGCCGAAACGTCGTGAGAATTTTATTGTGTTATTTTATTTTATCAATTTATTATTTTATTCTCATTCTACGTGACTTTACCGAAAGAACCAAAGAAGATGAATCCTTGCAGTCACGAAAGCTTTAAATCGAAATTTAAGCGGTAAGACAATCTCACCGTGAGCGGTGGAAGTCTTCCATAAGTGGTAGACGTCTTCCACGATCGGTAGACGTCTTCCGTAAGCGGTAGACGTTATTCCGGGCAACAGGTAGACGTCTTCCGGAAGCGGTAGACATTACTCCGGGCAACGGTAGACGTCTTCCGGAAGCGGCGGACGTACAGTGCTTCTCCATCTTGAGTCAGTTGTGGCACTTCGCGTCCCCGTTGCGTCGCGTTGTGTACTCCTCTCTGTGTGTGTGTTGTTGTTGTTGTGTTGTTGTTGTTGTGTTGTTGTCGTTGTTGACGGTGCTCGCTCTTCACGAGAGACGTCGCGTTTCGAGGAGCTTTCTCAGGTTCGTTTCGCGGCCCTCTGGCCCGGACCCAATCGTCCTCCCAACCTCCGGTTCACTCGGCCGCTGCTGCCTCTCCTTTATTTCGTAGCCACTCCGCTCCCTCGTCAATTGCTTGGTTAACCACCGTGATTATTGTACCGCCGCGCGTGTTTAACCATTGCGTTTGCTATTTGCCGCGTCAATCCCCATATTTAACCATTTCCGTATTTAACCCATTGCACGGTCGTTTCCGTGGCGGCCGCGAATTATTTAATCGTTTTATTTGACCACCGATTTATTTAACCATCGCCCTGCCATTTGCCCGTGGGGATTATCCTTCATTGGCCACCGCGTATCGTTACCCTGAGGGGGGTGCCCTTTATTCAACCAGGTGTTTATACTGGTAGGAACGAAGTTGTAAACTGAGTGTACCAGCCTGCAATAGATTAATGTGTCCGTCCGTCCCCTTTCAATACTTTAACGAAGTGAAATCTCGTGCTGTTGGGGGTTAAAATCGGCAATAGACAGCGCAGAGACTTGTCCTACCAGCCCACCCTGCAGGGACCTGTTTTGACCCAACGCATGCATCGATAACGACACTGCCCCTTTGTTAAACCACCGACTGGCGTTATTTAGCCAGCAGCGTGCTTAATATGTTGACTGCAAACCCCGTGGTGTGACAGTCTCACACCACAGGGGCGGCCAAATCCTGTATTTAACCACGAGACTGCCTTTGAACGCGCGATGACGACCGACATTCCACGACTTTAGCAGTGGGCCAAAATAACTTTTTTTTAACCACAGTGCGTCTTTATTTAACCAATGTTAGAATGTGTTCAACCAGAAATTAGTCAAATGTATTTATTTAACCGTGGTGGCGAGATGTTAACTACCTCGCCTGGTATGCAGGAGTTCGTGGGCTCGATCCCAACCTTGACGCCCGCTGTATATTTGGAGTTTGCGGTGTCTCATCATCAATCTGGTGGCTAGGAGATGTTAACTACCTCGTCTGGTATTCAGGAGTTCGTGGGTTCGATCCCGACCCTGACGCCTGTTGTGTATTTGGAGTTTGCGTGTCTCTCTCTCATCATCATCATGGTGGCTAGGAGATGTTAACAACCTCGCCTGGTGTACAGGAGGTCGTGGGTTTGATACTGACCCTGACGCCTGCTGCTGTATATTTGGAGTTTGCGGTGTCTCTCTCTCATCATCATCATCACGGTGGCTAGGAGATGTTAACTACCTCGCCTGGTATGCAGGAGTTCGTGGGTTCGATCCCGACCCTGACGCCTGCTGAAAAATGTGGAGTTTTGTTTCTCTCTCCCCGTGGTCGTGTGGATTTTTCTCCAGTTCCTCCGGGTTTTCCCCTCCGTATTAGCATCAACATCACGCGTTTAGAGTATTTAGCTGCTATACATTTCCACGTGAAAAGCCACTAAGTTGAGCTATCATTTGTTATGACGAGGACGCTTCTGAAAAAGAGCTACGTTGCTCAGCGCGCCTTACCTGGTAAAATAAACGTCGTTTAGTTTAACTGCGAAGCTGCCTTTAACTCGTTAGGCCAACTTTAACCTACAATGAGATTATTTGGCTATAACAACAATGGTCCAAATGTCTATAACCATTACTTTTGATTTGGCCGAAGTGAAAGACTTTATTTTAATACTGTGATACCGTCTTCAACTGTCATTCATAATGTATGTCTTCAACTAGCATTGGGTCAATACAATTATTAAGCCACATTGAGAATGCCTTAATTGAGGTTTTCTTAAATTATATATTACGTGCAGTGAGACCGTACCGTATGCCTTTATTTTTACTCGCAGTCATGTTGTGTGCCTTTATTTCACCGTATGGAGGTTTCTTTTATGACTTAATGTAATCTTGTGAAGGCTTATTCTTATTGAATGTCAAAACAGCCATGAGATTTGCCCTTTGCCAACAGTGAGATTCATTGTCCTAATCTAACCTCGTGTGGCTCCATTGAGATTCATTGCTTTTAACTCTGGGTGCAACAGTGAGATGGTTTTACCCTCGTGGTAGTCCTTTTATGATACGGATTGTCTTTATTAAACCTTTGATACGGGTTGTCTTTATTTAACAACGCGCTACATCGTTGAGATTATCCATAATCGAGGTGTTTTGGGTTAGATCACGTGAACATAAATAAGTCGTTAAACCCGCCACTGCCCGACACAGCCAATTAGTAAGTATTGTCAAGTCAATAAAACGTGCGAATTCAATACTAGTTCAGCACACTGGGGTGTTGGAGAGTAAACCCACAACATTTACAATTCGAGTACGACGCTTCACCAGTAATTACAACTAGCATCATCCGGCGACAATTATTATCGATGATGTTGGTCGCGAAAATCAACGTGTTAAATCGTTGAGATTCATCGCCTTAAATTTAGGCCAGCGATGATCATTCCATGATGTGACTGGGGCCACCATTTTGGGAACGTGTAATTTCCACCGCTGGTTGAGCTCATGTTTAGCAGAGGGACGGGGAGACCCTGATCTGAATAACGCAAGGGGATGTCTCTGTGCGTCTCCTCTCCTCTCTCTCCCTGTGATCTTCCCCTCTCTGCGTCACCCTCACCGTCGCTCAACCCGGGGTCCTGCGTCTCCGCGTCTTCCCTCTCGCCCGTGCCGAGTAACAGGACTAGACGGTGACGATGTCGGACAAAGCGGAGCTGAAGGCGGAGCTGGAGCGCAAGAAGCAGCGCCTGGCGCAGATCCGCGAGGAGAAGAAGCGAAAGGAAGAGGAGCGCAAGAAGAAGGAGGTGAGACTGGCGCAGTGGAGGAGAAACTCCGCGGCTCGTGACTTCCCAATTTTTTATTCCAATTGTGCAGTCTGCTTCGTGTCGAAGACATTCCCGTTCAAGAGCTGTGCCACGGGTAGTGCGTCGTGCTCCGTGTGCGTGTGTGTCACGTGCAACGAGGCGAATTTGAGTGAAAGAATCCTGAATGCGGTCGTTTGCCACGGGGCGGGCGGGGGGGGGGGTGGCCTGTGACCATCGACTCGCTAACCTCGAGAACCCTGGTGTAAAATCGCGAATAGCCGAAACCTGGATTCAAACCGCAGGCTTCTCGGCTTTCTGCCGGCTCGGTGTCTCTGACCGCCCTGAGCTGCCGTGCCGACTCTCTGGGTGCCCGTGTCTGTTTTTGTCTTACTGGCGCCGTTGCCGGTGACGGTGTCCTGTGCAGGTGGACGTCAAGAAGGAGCCAGCGCCCGATGAGTCTGATCTGGAGAAGAAGCGAAGGGAGACGGACGCCCTCCTGCAGAGCATGGGGATTCCCGCCGATGCCCCGCTGAGTACGCAACCCACCAGCAACACCTCCCTCCCTCTCCTCTGTGATGATGAGTCCTGGGGTGGACCTGTGGCCCATGGGCCTGGATGCTGCCCACAACTTAATTTCACACGGCCCACGTCGTCACTTCATACGGCTTTCGACTAAATTTCATACGGACCACGTCTTAAATTCATACAGCCTATTTCATACGGACCGTGACCACATGAGGCCAGGCCAGTTCTCAAACGATATTTATCCATTGCTCGTGTGCTGTGCGTGTGCTCCGTGCATGTGCTCCAATCGTGTGTGTACCACGCTTGTGCTCCGTGCCTGTGAGCACCGCGTGTGTGCTTCGTGCGTGTGCTCCACTTGTGCCTGCTCCATGCTTGTGTGCTTCGCGAGTGTGCGCTTCGCGCGTGTGTGCACCCCGTGTGTGTGTACCACGCTTGTGCTCCGTGCCTGTGAGCACCGCGTGTGTGCTTCGTGCGTGTGCTTTGTGTGTGCCTGCTCCGTGCGGGTGTGCCCCAGGCATGTGTGCTTTGCGAGTGTGTGCTCCGCGTGTGTGTGCACCGCGCGTGTGCGCCACTTGTGCCTGCTCCATGCGTGTGTGCTCCGCGCGTGCTTCGCGAGTGGGTGTACCACGCTTGTGTTCCGTGCCTGCGAGCACCGCGTGTGCTGCGTGCGTGTGCTCCACGTGTGCCTGGTCCGTGTGTGTGTGTGCTCCGCGCGTGTGTGCTTCGTGCGTGTGTGTGCTCCGCGCGTTTGTTTTGCGCTTGTGTGCTCCCCATGTGCTCCATGCGTGTGTTGCTCCCCGCGTGACCGCGTGCATCTGTCCACAGCCTCGGTGCAGGACTCGCCGACGCTGTCCAAGGCGGTGAGCACGCCCAGCGAGACCGGCAGCCAGGAGTCCATGGAGACGGTGGCCGCCGGAAGGTACCGGAGCCCCGTCCCACTCACCATCCCACAATGCTCGGTCTGCATTGTCACTCTCACAGGCCATTGTCAATACACTGCTGGAAGAAGGCCTCCCCCGCGCCGTGTCGATGGTGGGATTTTGTTGGACTATTTATGGCACCACGGTGGCTAGGAGATGTTAACTCCCTCACCTGTTATGCAGGAGGGCGTGGGTTCGATCCCGACCCTGACGATGTGTGTATATTTGGAGTTTGTGTTGTCTCTCTCCCTGTGTTGGCATTAATTTTTCTCCGGGTCCTTCAGTTTTTCCCTCCAAATTTGCAATCAACATTACGCGTTTAAGAGTTTTGGGGTGCTATACATTTACACATGATAAGCCACTTCATTGGGCTATCATTTATGGCCAGGTCACTTCTGAACAAGAGCTATACAGCTCAGTGGGCCTTACCTTGTAAAATAAAAAAAGTAGTTTACAATGATTTATCGCCATCATCGCGAAGAAACGGCAATAATTTATTGGAGAATAGCGTCTGAATGCAAGGGCATGTCAAGACGATGTACTAGGCAACCATGTGTGCATGAAGAGGTAAATGCTGGCAAATTAATACATAACTCGATGAACATATAATGACTATACAAAGACTCGATTCACCAAAACGAAGGAAGGAGGGAAGCATCATCACAGCAGCGATGATTCATCACTTTGCCACTCCTGACTCCGCAGTAAATCCGGCTCATCAGCCACCTCGACGCAAAATTACAGCTGCCGCTCTTCGTCAGCCTGAGCCGTACGAAGAAGAATGCCAAATGCCCGTTCCCTCTGCTCTGACCGTACCGACCATTGTTGTGCTCTGCGTTAGACGGCGGCGTTTGCAAATGGCCACGGCGGTGGTCACTGCTCGGTGATTTGGAAACGCGAGGCACCGTAATCTGGAAAGATCGGCGCAGCGACCCAACGCTTCCGTTCTGCGTAGCGAGTCTGTGTGCGCGTGTAGCGTAGCGGTTAGCGCGCTGCGCTACGAACCAGACGACCCGAGTTTGATTCCCACTCACGGCCAACACCAGTGACGAGTATCTGCACCGGTCCTGGGCCTGCCCTAGGTCGGTTCAGCCTTAAACGAGTAACTAGTGCGGCGTGTAAACATCGCGACTCGGGAGACAAAGACGGCCATGGCGTGGTGCTGGCCACCCACTCCCCTCGCGTGCCTTTCCAGCCTTCATAGGTGTTCGCTAACAGCGCTTTCCCCAACAGTTTGTTACAGGCTTCACGGGGGATCTTTTGTCTTTGCATCTGTGTACGCCTTTTTCTCTGTGTGTGCCTGTCCGTGTCTCGATGTGCACGTCCACGTATTTGTGTGTCCGTGTCCACTCGTGCCGTTCCGGCCTTCATAGGTGCTCTCTAACAGCACTTGTCCCAACAGTCTGTTAAGGCTGTCCGGGGCGGGGCGGGGCCTTTGTCTTTGTTTGTGCTGCTGCTGCTGCGAGTGTTTTTGTGCTGCTCTACTAACCCACTAACCCTGCGGTTACGTTTTCACGCTGCGCACGGAAGGACCCTGCAGTGGGACTCTGACCCCACGGTGTTACAGCTCCTCGCAGACTCTGAGTCAGGGTATCGCTCGCTCCCTCCCGCCGCTTACTCGCCTCGCTCCCTTCCTCGCTCCCTGCCACTCGCCCACCAACCTCTCCTGCCGGCTCTCTTACGCCCGCTCACTCACTTCCACCTGCTCACTCGCTCTCTCTCGCTAATCCCATTGCTCGCTCGCTTGCTCCCTCTCACTAGAGGCCGGCCGAAACTGAATTTCTGGTTTCGGCCGAAAACGAAACCAGTCCGAATGTTAAAAATTGAATTTTGGCCGAAACCGAAAGAGGCCATTTTGCCAACTGTCAGCGCCGAAACCGAATTTCGGTCGGCCTCTACCTCTCACCCTCTCGTTCTCTCCCTCCCGTTCACTCGCGCACCTCTGCGCTTGCTTGTTCTCTCGGCCGTTGCTCCCTCTCTCGCTGCCTCACAGCTGCTTTTCTCCCACTCGCACATTCAACCCACTCACGCTGCCACCCACTCGCACTCTCTCGCCCACTCTCAAAGATAAAGGTCCCCCGTATAGCCTTGACATACTTTTTGGGGCAAGTGCTGTTCGCGAGCAGCTATGAAGGCCAGCATGGCACATGTGGCTAGCACCACGCCTTGCCGTCTTTGTCTCCCCAGTGGCGGTGTTTACACACTGCAACCAGGTACCCATTTGAGGCTGAGGTCGACTGAGGGGAGGCCCAAAACCGGTTCAGATAAATGTTTCTGCTGTTGGCCGTGAGCGGGAATGGAACTCGGGTCACCACGCACTCTCTCACTGTCTCGCCCGCTCGCTCTCTCCTTAACTCTCACCCACTCTCTTACCCACTCTCACCCACTCTAATCTCACCCACCTCACTCTTTCACCCACTGGCTATCTCGCTCTCCTCTCATCCGCGCGTTCTCTCCCTCTCTCTTACCCGCTCCATTGTTCTTGCCGTGTTGCCCACCGAGACCGGCCGGCTCGCACATGGCACGCACACGCACGCACACACGTGGCTCACGTGATCAGGCTTCCTGTATTCGTAGCTTTTTCTCTCCCTGGCTGCAACGCTTCGCTGGACGCGCACCAGCTTGGCGTTGCTGCTCTTCAGTAGCCTTGCTTCACATTTAATACATTAACACCCCCCCCTCCCCTCTGGTCTTTGCGCCTGATTGGCTCACAAGTGACTACATCACATTTACCCCCCACCTCTATTTAAGACCGAAACGGGAGGAATTCTCCACAATTCAGGCTGTCGCCGGATGAGGCTTTTTGCTGTAATTGCTGGCGAACCGTTACGGTACTCGAATTGTAAATGTTGTTGTGGATTTACTCTCCCAACATACCGGTTAGTGCTGAACTGGTAACTAATTGGCACGGTTTGTTTATTTGGCAAAACTTCACTCGTTGGCTGTGTCGGGTGGTGCGGGTGTTTAGCGACGCATTTATATTTTGCGCGATCTGACTCATAAAAAATAACTCTGTAATGTTTAATATTTAAGTTTGCGCTTTGTTACTTTCATTCGTGCCGCAGTCGCTCGGCATCCCGGCGTTTTGAGCAAGAGCCGCCGCCGCCGCCGCGCGCAAAAGGCATTTAGTTCCCATCGCTTTGACGCGCTCGTTCAACATCACTCCTTCCTGTCGTGTAGTGGAGTTGCAGTTGGTGACGGCGCAGGTGAAGAATGCGTTTTTCACCGCTCGTAGGCTTTGGCACTGTTCCGCTCCCAAAAAAAAATATATGTAGTTTTTTTTTTTAAGTTGTCATGCGATTTGCCGTTGCTCGGCTGCAAGAGACCGCTTTTGAAAAACAGTCTCCAAACGGCGAGAGAGCGTGCAGCGCCAGACGCTCCTCCACGGAGCGTGTGGCGTGCCAACGAGAGAGACAATTTGAAGTGGCCCTCAGGAAGAGTTCTGCGGCGTTCCCTTCCGGCGGTGCCGAGTTGTTAACTACCTCGCCTGGTATGCAGGAAGTCGTGGGTTCCAACCCCGACCCTGACGCCTGCTGCTGTATATTTGGAGTTTGCATGTCTCTCTCCCCGTGGTCGCTTGGATTTTTCTCCCGAGTCCTCCGGTTTTTCCCTCCAAATTTAGAATCGACATCGTGCGTTTAGAGTATTTGGCTGCTATATATTTCCGCGTGATGAGACGCTTCATTGGGCTATCATTTATTGGCAGGTCGCTTCTGGAAGCGAGATACATAGCTCAGTGCGCCTTACCTGGTAAAAAAAAAAGAGTTTAGTTTTAGTACTGATGGCGTTATTATGACGCGCCTCGGATAATCGCAGACATCGATTGATTCTAATTGGTGATTTTTTTTTCATATCCACACGGTCACTTGTGCCTGACACGTCGGTTACCTTTATTTCACCCAGGTGAGCACCCAGCGAGACGCCGAGTCTCCTTTGCGAGGGTCACCGAGATCGTCAGCAGGACGATATCAAAACAAATTAATGCCAATTTTTTTGGCGAAACAGTCCCACGGCTAGAGATAAAATGAGTAAAGAGCTGGCGTGGAAAAGACACGGTTATGACTGTTGTTAACTCCGTGGTGTTGTGTGTGGTGGTGTGGTGCTGTGTGTGTGTGTGGGGATGGTGCGGTGGTCTCTTTGTGCGTGTCGAATGTGCGTTGGGTCGTGTGGCGCCGTTGGTGTGTGCGCGCGTGCCATGGTTGCGGTGTTGGCTGACGTGGTGTCGCGTGCGTTGGATGGCACGGTTTGGTGTGGAACGCGTCGGCCGGCCCCTGTGTGGGCGGGATTGCCGTGGCCCCCACCAGGCGGAGAGGCCACAAGCTGGGCCTGGCCAAGGTGACTCAGGTGGACTTCCCGCCGCGGGAGCTCGTCACCTATGCCAAGGAGACGCAGACGCCATTCCCCACCAGCCACCCCGCAGGTGCGCACGCACGCTCAACGCGCAAAGATCCCCCCGTGTAGCCTTCACGGTCGGTTGGGGTAGGTGCTGTTAGCGAGCGCCTGTTAAGGCCGGCACGGCACATGAGGACGTGGGTGGCCAGCGCCGCGCCCGACTGCCTTTGTCTCCCCAGTGGCGACGTTTTCACACACTGCACCAGGTACTCATTTGAGGCCGAGTCGACCTAGGGGAGATCCAGAACCGGATCAAATGATCATCACTGGTGTTGGCCGGGTTCGTAGTGCAGCACGCTAACCACTACACCAGTGCTCCCCACAACACACTCACACACGCTCGTGTACACACACACTGTCACATGCTCACACACGCTGCTGCTGCTCACCCTCATCGGCCTTCTCTCATCCTCCTCTCTGGTGCCAGACGAGGAGGACGAGGAGGAGGAGGTGGCGGGGCAGAAACCCTCCTCGGAGCCCGAAGTGCTGGTGGAGCAGAAGGAGGAGGAGGAGGAGAAGAATGGTGAGGAGCCTGTCGCGAAGAGCTATCGTCCCGTGGCTGCGCACCGTGTCCCTCGCCGCCCCGGTGTCGTGACGCTGGCGGCGTCACCGTATTTGCTCACCAGCCGTTGCCGTGGGTGACCTTACTCTCGCGCTGCCCGGCACTCGACGCCGCCTCGCCCGTGCCCAGTGATGGGCTTCCGCCGATTGACTAGCGGGAACGGTCATCAGAGCAGAGCCACCTCCTGACCCTGAACCTAACCCCTACTCTCCCCCGCTGTGCCAACGCCTCACTCTAACCCCTAACCCTTTCCTCTGCTCTGCCAACCCCTAACTCTTAACCCTTACCCCTTGCCCTGCTCTGCAGAGCCCTAATTCTAACCCTGACCCCTTCAAGCCCCACTGCTGTCCACACCCCGAATCATAACCCCGTGAACCGCGCCCGCGCGGTGCCGTTGTGTCGTCCCAGCTGCCGCGCACGAGCTCACCGAGGAAGAGAAGCAGCAGATCCTCGCCTCGCACGACTTCCTGGGCTTCTTCACGCGCAGCACGCGCATCATCGAGCGTGCGCTCGCTGAGGAGGGTGACATCTTCTTCGACTACAGCGGCCGCGACGGCCTGGAGAAGGAGGGGTGCGCGCCGTCGTCGTCATCGTCATTATCATCGTCGTTATCGTCGTCGTCATCATGATCATCATGCACTGCTGCAGACTTTGTGTTTTGTCCGTCCGTCGTATATCTCCCCCGCCCCCGCCAGCAGGTGCTGCTTACAACCTTGAGATGCGATGTAAAGCTAGCGCCATTGTACACAAATGCCCTCATCCCTTTCTAGAATGCATGTTTGGTATTTATTGAGGCTAGGAGGGGTCCCCACACGTCCTTTGTACGTGACCGGTCCGTCGCTCCCTCCAACCAGCCAGCAAAGCTTTTGTTTAACCGTTTCCCATTCCGAGACGTCTGCACGTTGCCGGACGGATGTCCTGCTCACCGCTGAATCTCGGGACACGCAAGCGGCTCGGCTTAAATTGTATTTAGAGAGGCGTAGTAGCGCCGCTGTTTTTAATCACGTACTCACCGCAGAGAAGCGTAGCGACACGACCGCACTCTACGATATCTGGCGCCAAACTGCGCCACACGCCCTTCCGCATCGCCTTGTGGTAGCCTCGGTACCGATAAGTTATTTGACTTTTTCTTCCGGTTTCGTTTTGATGACGCACGTGTACGCCATCCGTGAACAGGCGACAACGATGGGCACGTCCACGATAGCGAGACGGGTGCAGCCTCCGAGCCCTCGGCTGTATCGGTGAAGCGTTTGGTTGATTCAGTTTTGTGCATAATTGAATTAATTATTTGCAGACCAATCTTAATTGAGGAAACAGATACCAATTGTCACCCCCCCCCCCCCAACTGTGAAAGACCTAGCAGGACTTTCCTGAAAAGACTCGGTGAGACTTTCCTGAGCAAACGATCCTAAATAAATAATATCTGATATTATAATAATAATAATAATAATGATCGGAGTACTTGGCGGCACTCGCTGTGTACAGGGAGATGCAGGCGGGCGTGAAGTTGTCCATGCAGCGGCAGTTCTACGACGAGCACTGGTGCAAGCACCGCATCGTCACCTGCATGGACTGGTCCCCACAGGTGCTGGCAAACACACGCACACACACACAGCAGATGAAGGTCCCCTGTAGAGCCTTCAGCAGGCTGTCAGATCCGGTGCTCTTAGCGAGCGCCTATGAAGGGGTTGGCAGGTCGCACGTGGGTGCAGTGTTGTCAGCGCCACGCCCGCTGCTCGTGTTTTATACACACCGCGGCGTGTCTTAATTTAAGGCGGAGTCAACCTTGGGGGAGGACCAGGACCGGTTCAGCTATCCTGCCGTGAGTAGGAATCGAACTCTGGGTCGCCGGGTTCGTAGCACAGCGCGCTAACCGCTACACTCCCGTGTGTGCTCGCAGACACGTGCGTGTGTGTGTGTGTGTGTGCTAACACACACGCGTGTGTGTATTCATACACATGCGCACAGTTGAACGTCTGCAACAAGTGGCTGAAGCACCACTGCTGTGCCGCGTCACCGACCCAGATGTGGGCGCGTCGCATGAGATTTCCGTTCCGATCGATGTGCACACCGCGGTGGCGAGATGTTGACGACCTCACCTGCCGTACAGTTGGTCTTGGGTTTGATCCCGACCCTTGACGCCTGCTGTATATTTCGAGTATGCGCGTTCTCCCCATAGTCGTGTGGATTTTTCTCTCAACATTTAGAATCAACATGTGTTTAGAGTATTTTGGCTGCTATAAATTTCCACGTGATAAGCCACTGCGTTGAGCTAACTTTTGTGGCCAAGTCATTTCTGAAAACAGCTATATAGCCTAGTGGGCCTTACCAAGTAAAATGAAAATAGTTTTTTTATGTATGTATGTTGAGCTTCTTTTGCACCGTACGTAGTCAACCCTGCTAATCGGAGGTGCAGGGGAAGGACAACAATCTCAACACGTAAGCAGTTCTAAAGAAAGGCGTTTTTAATCTAGATGATTTTAAAGTGCATAGCTCCAATGGCTTCATAATATCGGAAGGAAGAGCGTTCCAGACGGCCGCAGAAGCGCATCTGAAAGCGCGCGATGCGGTGACCACCGTCTTTGTTCGATGGTTAGCGGAAAGCCGCTGCTGTTAGGGTGACCGGAGTTCGTGTGATGGTTTATGCTCCTTGACAAGATCAGCACGGTATTGTGGTGACCATGGGGGTGCGTGCGTGCGTGCGTGTGGGTGCGTGCTCTCCTCTCCGCGCGAGCGCAGTACCCGGAGCTCCTCGTGTCCTCGTACAGTAACAACGAGGCGGCGCCCAACGAGCCGGACGGCGTGGCGCTCGTGTGGAACATGAAGTTCAAGAAGTCCACGCCCGAGTACATCTTTCACTGCCAGGTGCGTGCCGCACCGTGCCACCAGCGTGCCACCACCGTGCTACCACCGTGCCACCAGTCCCAACGTCCCACCACCATGCCAGCGTGCCACCACCGTGCCACCAGCGTGCCACCACCGTGCTACCACCATGCCACCAGTCCCAACGTCCCACCACCATGCCAGCGTGCCACCACCGTGCCACCAGTCCCAACGTCCCACCACCATGCCAGCGTGCCGCACCGTGCCATCGTATCACCACCGTGCTACCACCGTGCCACCACCGTGCCACCAGTGCCAACGTCCCACCACCATGCCAACGTCCCACCACCATGCCAGCGTGCCACCACCGTGCTACCACCATGCCACCAGTCCCAACGTCCCACCACCATGCCAGCGTGCCACCACCGTGCCACCAGTCCCAACGTCCCACCACCATGCCAACGTCCCACCACCATGCCAGCGTGCCACCACCGTGCCACCACCGTGCCACCACCGTGCCACCAGTGCCAACGTCCCACCACCATGCCAACGTCCCACCACCATGCCAGCGTGCCACCACCATGCCAGCGTGCCACCAGTCCCAACGTCCCACCACCATGCCAGCGTGCCACCACCATGCCAGCGTGCCACCAGTCCCAACGTCCCACCACCATGCCAGCGTGCCACCACCGTGCCACCAGTCCCAACGTCCCACCACCATGCCAGCGTGCCACCACCGTGCCAATGCGCGCGACCCTCGCCAGGGTGTCGCAGTGCTTGGAATGCCACACTGCCTGGGGATGAACGAAACTATTTAAACGAGACGATTTTTATTTGACCAGGTAAGGTCCCACTGAGCTGTGTAGCCTTTTTTTCAGAAGCGACCTGGCCACAACTGATAGCCCAACGAAGTGGATTATCATGACGTAGAAATTTATAGCGGCCAAATGCTCTTTACACATGTTGATTGTCAATGTGGAGGGAACAAACGAAAAACCACCACCGGGAGAGAGACGCGCAAACTCCAACAATACAGGCGTCAGGGTCGGGATCGAACCCACGACCTCCTGTCAGGGGCGGAGCCACAGGGGGGGCTGGGAGGGGCTCAGCCCCCCCTGAAATTTTGGGAAAGTCGATAATCGGGATAACCGGATATCCGGCTGCTGCAAAATGCTGCAGTTCTGCCACCTTGTGCTGCCCTGCAGGCTGCTACCTTGTGTGCTGCCCTGCAGGCTGCCACCTTGTGCTGCCCTGCAGGCTGCCACCTTGTGCTGCCCTGCAGGCTGCCACCTTGTGCTGCCCTGCAGGCTGCCACCTTGTGCTGCCCTGCAGGCTGCCACCTTGTGTGCTGCCCTGCAGGCTGCCACCTTGTGTGCTGCCCTGCAGGCTGCCACCTTGTGCTGCCCTGCAGGCTGCCACCTTGTGAGCTGCCCTGCAGGCTGCCACCTTGTGCTGCCCTGCAGGCTGCTTGAGCGGCAGCCTTTTGAACTTATCGAACTTATCAGTGGCTCCGACCTCTTAATAAACTCCGCGTTCAAATCCAATAAAATTTGTTTTATACATTTGTGGCGCCCATTGGAAAACATTACACACTGGATATCTCAGAATATTGAAGTCAGCCTCCCCAAAGTCAAAATCCTGGCTCCGCCTCTGCCTCCTGTACACCAGGCGAGGTAGTTAAAAATAAGCAATAATAAAATTACATAATAGCATACTACATCATTAGACCTCCTTTGCCAGTACCAAAATGTAATAATAGGGTTTTTCCCCTTTTCTATGTGTACCTTCCCCCTCGCTACTCCGAGTCAGTCCCTTTGTACATGCTAATTTGTATCCCTTTATCTCTCAGTCCCCGCCCCCCCCTCCCTCTATTTAAGGCTTCAGCACACAGACACTGTTTCACTGTCCCATATGTGTGTCTCTCTCTGTTTGTCTCTGTGCTAACTCTCTCTGCTTAGATGTCTATATATGTGTCTGCGATCTGTATTCTATCACTCCCTTAAATTTAGCAATCCTTAGAGGAACGTATTCAGCCAGGTAGAGTGTTGACTGTTATGTTGGCCGGCTATCTACGCTGTATTGTATTATATTCCTCTCTGTGTCTCTGCTTATTCTCTGTCTACTTGTATGTCTGGTTTTGTGTCTCCGTATATGTGTCTTATCTCTCTCTCAAATTCACACTTAACTTATAATTTAGCAATCTTTGAAATAACCTAATCAACGAGACCATGCGTCAATTGTGTTTTGACCGACCCTCTGTGTTGCATTATATTGTTTCCAAATTTTACTAAATCTTGTTCGATTTAGTGTGCTTCTCCATCTCTCTTTGTCTCCCCTACATGCTAAGGCCTCGGCACAGAGACCCTATCTCTCTGTGCTCCATACGTGTGTCTCTCTTTGTGTCTCTGTGTTAACTCCCTCTACTTAGGTGTCTATATATGTCTACGGTTCTGTGTTTCCTCTCTTAAATTTAGCTCTTCTGTGCCTGGTGATGATTGCTTGCGTTGCAATCGAAATGTCGTATGCTATTATGTAGTATGCTATTATGTAATTTTATTATTTCTTATTTCTACGTGACTTTACCGAAAAACCAGAGTAATTCCTGCAGTCACGAAAGCACCAAATCAAGTTTGAGGTAGTTAACATTCTGCCACCATGGCGGATATCAGGTGCACCAGGCGTGTATGCCGTGGGGTGGCCCAGGAAATGGCCGAGTCGAGTGGGCGAGTTTTTGTCTGGGTCCTCCAGTCTGCACGCACGCTAATGCACCACACTCCCACGAGTGGAATTGTGCTGAAACCTCAATCTAGCGGGACCCTCCTGAGAATGATTCTTGCTTAATCAGCGGTGCTTTTCTGGTTAAAACAATCGACGTTTTTAGCAGTGTTGACCTCGTTTGGTGCTTGCCAGCAGCACTTTCCCCAACAGGTCTAGGAGGCTTAATGAGAGATCTTTGTCTCTTCTGACCGTGTGTGCGCGCCACAATGCCTGTGTCTTATGCACCAGCTTGTTTGCCTGTCCTAGGATGGAAGCTGTAATGTTTACGAAAAAATTGAGCAGAGTATCTTGTGTAAATGTTAATGGCAGTGAATCTTGCACGAAAAGTATGTCATCAAACACTTCACTGCATTTCACTGTAGCACTGTATTGATGGCAGTGAATCTTGCACAAAACGAAGTCATACAACACCTCACTTCATGTCACTGTAGCACTGTATATAACTGACCTTCAATTTGTTCAAAATCACTGCTCTGATACTTTATTCTCCAGCGATGAAATAAATAGGAATTTGATACAATATCTGGAAAATCACCGAGAAATGTCTAGTTTACCATAATGTAGAAGCATAAATTGGACTTACCTTTTTTCTCAAGTGCTGAAGAAATAAAGACACCAAATTCACTTTGTTGCTGCGTAGAATTATTTATTGGATTCACTTTCAACAAAGAAACGTCAAACTTAAAGCGAATTTGCGAAAAATTTTTTTATTTCCGCTCGACCTTCTGCGTGAGTGTAAACATCCACCCGCTCATGAATATTAATGACGGGGGGAGTGCGGCATGTGGAGTGACTTCACGCGCGTTACACACAGACATTCTTGGCTCATTTTAGTCGTAGTGTGCAGCCGTGTGGGTGTGTGTGTGTTCCGCTGTGCATGCATGCGTACGTGTGTGCCGCTGTTTGTGTGTCTGTGTATGTGCCGCCGTCTGGGTGTGTATGTTCCAACGCGTGTGAATGCGCGCGTGTGTGCGCGTGCGTGCCGCCGTGCGTGCGTGCGTGCGTGTGTGCCTGCGTGCGTGTACCACCGCGCCGTGTGTGTGTGTGTGTGCCGCCTTGCGTGTATGTGTGTTTGCTGCCACCCGTTGCATGCCTGCGTGTGCGCCACTGTGCGCGTGTGTGCGTGCAGTCGTCGGTGATGTCCGCCTGCTTCGCGCGTTTCCACCCGAACCTGGTGGTGGGCGGCACCTACTCGGGACAGATCGTGCTGTGGGACAACCGCTCCAACAAGCGCACGCCAGTGCAGCGCACGCCCCTCTCGGCCGCCGCACACACGGTACGGTAGGCAAACCGCGGCACCGCAGCCACCGCCCGTCACGGCAACCGCATCTACCGCCCACCATGGCATTCGGAGCCACCGCTGCAGCCGGCACCACCACAGCAACGACAAGCACAGCCACCGCCCACCACGGCGACCGCAGCCACCGCCCACCACGGCGACCGCAGCCACCGCCCACCAGAGCAACCACAGCCAATGCTACCACGCCAACCATAGCCACCGCCCGCCACGGCAACCACAGCCACGGCAACCGCAGCCCAGCCACTGTCACCGCGCCAACCGCAGCCACCGCCCCCCTCGTGTCCTGTGCCGGCCTTCAAAGGTGCTCGCTAACAGCACTTGCCCCAAGAATCTGTCATGGCTATACGGGGGATCTTTGTCTTTGTGTGTGTGTGGACAGCATCCGGTTTACTGTGTCAACGTCCTGGGAACTCAAAATGCTCACAACCTCATCAGCGTCTCCACCGATGGCAAGATGTGCTCCTGGAATCTTGACATGCTCTCTCAGCCCCAGGTGAGACCCCCCCCCCCCTTCCCCACTCATGGACTGTCAGCACCACACACAAGTCAGTCAACCCGTGGCACCTGGGTCTGTTCCGTGACAGCCTGTCAGCAGCGAGCCTTTGACACTTCACGTGGCCTCAAATGCACCTGGCATGGCACAAGCGCCGTGGTGACGTCACCATCACTTAGTCGTGAACGGTGGCTGTTGTACAGTACACACACACACGAGTATAGTGTAGGAACGTGTTATTCATTGTGATGCCACCACCCAAAGAATCTAGACACAAATATCAAATATCCTCTTTTTGATTTAAAGCTTTCGTGACTGCAGGGATTCATATTCTTGGTTCTTTCGGTAAAATCACGTAGAAGGGAAACAATAAAATAATACAAATATAAAACCAAGAATATGAATACAAATATCCTCGTTTGTTTGCGAGTTTTTATTTGCTGATGCGGGGTAACAAAACGTTCAGCCGTCAGCATGTTTTACAAGAACGTCCCACGGAGGACCTTGTTACAGCGAATAAATCATCGCATTGCAGGGGCTCGAATAGCAAATGCGCTCGAGCAAAAACACCATTCAGGTCATGCAGCACTCAAGTAACGCTGGCAGGTGATGCGCATCGACGCTGAAGTATCAAGTCCGTACACCACGTGCGTCAGCGGTGTATCGCATATCAATCTCCATATATATCTAAAAGACAAAGTTGTGATTATTTGTGTCTGTTCAAAATGCTTAGCGTACTTCCCGACATGCAACAAACTTGAAATTTGCCATGTGGGTACTTTCCAGACTGTACACCATGCAAAAAATTTAAAAATAGACTTTGTTTTTTTCGGGCGGTGTGGGGGAGCTCAATAATGCATAGATTTTTTTGCACGGCAAGTGAGCTGTGACGTCAAATCTGTCACGTGACCCGCGCACGTGGAAGCGTAACGCATTGTAGTGTAGTGGTTAGCGCGCCGCGCTACGAACCCGGCGACCCGAGTTCGATTCCCGCTCACGGCCACCACCTAGTGACGATTATTTGAACCGGTCCTGGGCCTCCCCTAGGTCGACTCAGCCTCAAACGAGTAACTGGTGTGGTGTGTGAACATCGCCACTGGGGAGACAAAGGCGGCCGGGCGTGGTGGATCCAAGCTCCGGGCGAAGCCGGGGTAGTGCAGCTAGTTCATAAATATATCACAGAGTTGCGCCAAATTGAGGTGTAGCCGGTACCACGCCCTTGCCACCTTTTTGCGTCTCCCCAGCACTGATGTATTGCACACTTGCACCAGGTACTCGTTGAAGGCTGAGTTGACCTTGGAGGGCCGGAGGGGGGGGGGGGCAGGGGAGACCCAGGACTCGTTTAGATCTCACTCGCCGCTGATGCCAGCCGTGACTTGGAATCAAGTTTCGGTCGGTCGGTTCTTTGGTGGTGGCACACGAACCCGGCAACCAGAGTTCGATTCCCGCTCACGACTAATAACGGCGGTGGACATGTGAACCGGTTCTGGGCCTCTCCTCGGTCGATTCATCCTCAAATGAGTAACAAATTAGCAGTGGGGCGACGAAGGTGGCCGGCCGCGGTGTTGGCCGCCCACCCACGTCCACCGCCCCCCCCCCCCCCCCCCCGTACCTCGCCGGCCTTCATGGCTGCTGTTACTCGCGTACGGCACTTGCCCCCAACCGTCTTGTAAAGGCTATACGTGGGGGGATGGGGGGGGGGGGGTCTTTATCTTTGTGGGAGTTGTTTGACCATATTTGACCGCGCTGGTCAGCGTGAATAGCACTTGCCCCCAACCGTCTGTAAAAAGGGCTATAACGGGGGTGGGGTTGGCGTGGCTTATATGGGCACCGCGGTGGCGAGATGTTACCTACCTCGCTTGGTATGCAGGAGGTAGTGGGTTCAAATGCAACGTCGTCTCTCTCCCCGTGGTCGTGTGGATTTTTCTCCGGCTCCGGTTTTTCCCTCCACATTTACAATCAACATCGCACGTTTAGATTATTTGCCTGTTATAAATTTCCACGTGATAAGCCACTTGGTTCAGCTATCGTTTGTGGGCAGGTTGCTTCTGAAAAACAGTAATATTGCTCAGTGGGCCTTTTTAACACGTAGGTTTTCGCAACCAATATCATCCATAAGAGGTTTTTTTTGGGGTTAGATCAGTGGGCATTATCTGGCAAAATAAAAATTGTTGGTATCGTTGAAATCTGGTGATGGTGCTGTTGCTGCCTGCACTGGTTTTGGTAGTGCTGCTGCTGGTGTTGTTGCTTCTGAAAACGAGCAATATAGCTCAGTAGTTGGGGCCTTACCTGTAATAAAATTTAACAAAAATAGTTAAACTTAGTTACTATAGCACTTTTGTCTTTATCTTCACACAACGACAAAGATCCCCCGGAGAGATTGAACAGACTGTTGGGGCAAGTGCTGTCGGCTAGCATCTATGAAGACCGGAATGGCACACGAGGGAGTGGATAGCCAGCACCACGCCAGGCCTCCTTTATCTCCCCAGTGGCGATGTTTACTGCACACTGCACCAGGTACTCATTTGAGGCTGAGTCGACCTAGGGGCTGCCCATAATCGGTTCAGATAATTATAATCGTCACCGGTGTTGGTGGCCGTGAGAGGGAATCGAACTCGGGTCGCCAGGGCAGTAGCGCAGCGCGCTAACCGCTGCACTACCGCTCCCCACTTTGCGCATCGTCATCGTTGTCCGATGCAGGACAGCATGGAGTTGTCTCACAAGCAGTCCAAGGCGGTGGCCGTCACGTGCATGGCCTTCCCGCTCGGCGACGTCAACAACTTCGTGGTGGGGAGCGAGGAGGGCTCGGTGTACACGGCGTCACGGCACGGCAGGTGAGCCACCCCCCCCCCCCCTTCCCCACCGCAGCCCCCCTACCACACCTCCACCGCCTCGGAATTCCGCAGAGCCCGGCGGTGTTTTTGCATCGTTGTTGTGACATTCACGACTGGGCCTGGTGCAGGGCGACAGTCTTGTCGAGGAGCATAAACCATCATCGCGCAAACTCCGTTCGTCCTCGCGTGCATGGCCTTTGGTTGGCCATCGAACAAAGACGGTCACCCGCATCGCGCTTTTCCGGTATTAAGAAGCCACTGGCACTATGCACTCGGAAATCTCGATTGAAAACTCATTTCTTTAGAACTGCTAATCGCACTTCCGATTAGCGCGGTTAGCTAAGTACGGTGCGAAAGAAGTTCAACATACATACGAAGCAACCGGGGCCCAGTGAGTCCCCTGGGTAGGTCACAGGGGGAGCCGTCCCCAATTTGCCAATGAGTCCCAGGGGCAGTGAGTACTGTGTACTATTAGCTTGGTGAAAAGTGGTGCTCTCTTGGTGTGAGCGCGATGGTTATGAAATCTTGAGTAGTCCCTACGAACAGAGTTTGAGCTTTTAAACTTGCAGCGGCGCAGCAAGGGTTCTGAACGCTGTGCGTCAAGGGTTCTGAACGCTGTGCGGCAAGAGTTCTGAACAGGGTGTGCCAAGAGTTCTAAACGCGGTGCGTCAAGAGTTCTGAACGCGGTGCGGCAAGCGATCTGAACGCGGTGCGGTGACACCTGGGAAGGATTAGTAACGATACCGGACTTTTGTGTTTAACCTCAGGAACCCTTCCCAATGTAATCTTTTGCCCCCCCCCGTGTGTGGCACAAGGTGAACTCGGCAAGTGGGCATTTGTTAGAGGGTGCGGGGGGGGTGGTGAGGTTGGTTGTTCCAATTAAGTAAGAGCAGTGTTTATACAGTCAATTAATCTCACGTTTAATCAGGAAGAGCCCTTGGAGTTCACGTCTCATTACCAAGAGTTTCCTTGGCAAGAAGGCGGGAATGTTTAATCTGCAAATAGGTAATAAAGTTACTTAGTAGTGCCTAAGAATATATTGTTAATTATTTTAATTTACTAGGAATTGATCGGCAAATGACCAGGGGTTCGAATGGCCCCATTTAATTTAAGTTGATGTACTTCCCACAATGACGGTGGGAGATCAGAGGCTCGCGCACGGCACTATGACCCCAGCGACCTGAGTTTGACTCCTGGCCAAGGCTTAATATCGGTGGCGAGTTATATCTGAACCGAGCCGAGTTTCCTGGTTCCCCGGCCGTCAATCCTCCAGTCGTGTGACGGTGAACGCCTCCAGGTCTCCAACCAGAAGGGCCCCGATTCCAATTGCTGCTTCGGGGCTACTCGGCCCATCACACCTCTGGGGTTGATCAATTTTAAGGACCTCTTTGTAGAAGGTCAAAGGTGGTTGTTACGGAGTGCAACCATGCATTGCTTCGTCGTTACAGTATCGATTCTCGAAGCTTACGCGCCGTGCACCGATTGCCGTTGGAAATTTGTTCGCCATTGTATATGTTGTTGGTAATAGTTTCATGCGACCCCTCCCAAAAGCAAAGCAGTAGAGGCTGCCCCATTCACCAGAATCGATTTTTGCTTGCGTGGAATCGGAGCCCTGAATCTGGACGAATCCGTTGAATCAGTGGGGAGGTGGATCAACGCTCCACCAGCAGGTCATCCATTAAGAGAGAGGCCTCAAGATAAACCTGGCCCCTGCCATGGGAATGTGGAATATTTTTTTTACTGCTGGCTCAGTGTTGCGCCAAGCAACTTGAGCGCGCATGAGCAAGGGGGGGGGGGGGGGGAGCTGTGAGAGTTTGGGCTGCAGTGATTCGAGAGCAGTGGTCATGCGTGGAATTCGGCCACTAAAATTGTACGCGGGATTCCCTCGTTATTATAATTGTCCATGGGATTCTTTCGTTATTCGCGAGGGATAACATTGCGGAGATGATTGTGAATAGCAATTTCACGGAGAACGATATTGGCCTCGGAAAACCTCGATCTTTTGAAATGAATTGCCTTAAATAAGTGCATAAATAGGCGATTAAAATTATGATCTCTTTATCTCATCACTTTTCCTCTCATCACTTTCTCTCAACGCAGTCTTGTAGACTTCCGGATGCGATTCGCGGCAAGCCAAAATTGTGGATGGCAAGTTCGTGAATAACGAGGAAATACTGTAAAATAATAATTATAATAATTTCAACTTGTAAACGGCACCGCACGGTATTCGCTACCTCTCGGAGAGTGAGAACACCGACTCCGTGGACGCGAGAAGGAACCAGAGATGAGCAGGAAATGCAGCCAGCCGATGAGCCAACAGCAAATTCCCTACCCACCCCCCCCCCCAAAGCTCTGCAGTCCTCTATATATGAAGGTGTTTTGGCCAATGAATGTGTTTATGCATGTGGGAGGAAACCCGGAGCACCCGGAGAAAACCCTCGCGTGCGAGGGGGCGACGCTTCTGTCCCGTACGGGACGGAACGGATTTTAGTCCACGTATATTTTTGCCGTGCCGCCTTCTCCCGACGAGCCAGGGTGTACGGCTCCTCCCCCGACGCCTGACGGGAAGGGAGTCACCGCACGGCCATCCGCGTGCGGGGATCCAACCCAACCCTCGCCGATGGATTAGAGACCGCCGCGCGTGGCGGCGTAGCAACCACGGACGGCGTCCTCACCCCCTCCCCCGCCCCGTCGCTGTCATTGCAGCAAGGCCGGCATCTGCGAGATGTTCGAGGGCCACCAGGGCCCCATCACGGGCATCGCCTGCCATGCCGCCGTGGGGCCCGTTGACTTCTCCCACCTCTTCGCGACGTCGTCCTTCGACTGGACGGTCAAGTTGTGGAGCACCAAGGTGAGTGCCGTCCTCCCAGAGTGCGTCGCACAGCGTGGCCCCTCGAAATGTCCCCGGGCTACATCGGCGCTGGGTGTGCCTCCTGTGTGCATATGCGCTAAGGCCTCGCTTATTGCGCAGTGGTGTTCGTGCTTGAACGCGTTTTTTCTGTAAGGGCGCTCTTTTCGCGCGACGCTGTGACGCTGTGGTGCGGGACGCTGGGACGCTGTGACGGGAGAAGCTGTGACGTGGGACGCTGTGACGCGGGACGCTGTGGCGGGGGACGCTGTGACGTGGGACGCTGTGACGGGGGACGCTGTGACGTGGGACGCTGTGACGGGGGACGCTGTGACGGGAGAAGCTGTGACGTGGGATGCTGTGACGGGAGAAGCTGTGACGTGGGACGCTGTGACGGGGGACGCTGTGACGGGGGGCGCTGTGACGTGGGACGCTGTGACGGGAGAAGCTGTGACGGGGGACGCTGTGACGGGGGACGCTGTGACGGGGGACGCTGTGACGGGGGACGCTGTGGTGCGGGACGCTGTGACGGGGGACGCTGTGACGGGGGACGCTGTGACGGGGGACGCTGTGACGGGAGACGCTGTGACGGGGGACGCTGTGACGGGGGACGCTGTGACGGGAGAAGCTGTGACGGGGGACGCTGTGACGGGGGACGCTGTGGCGGGGGACGCTGTGGTGTGGGATGCTGTGACGGGGGATGCTGTGACGCGGGACGCTGGGACGCTGTGGCGGGGGACGCTGTGACGGGGGACGCTGTGGCGGGGGACGCTGTGACGGGGGACGCTGTGACGGGGGACGCTGTGACGGGGGACGCTGTGACGCGGAAAGCGCGCCGCTGTGACGGGGGAAGCGCTCCGTTAAATTGCGGAAAGCCCCCCCCCCCCTCCCCCTCCATTATAACAAGGCACACGTGCCGTTATAACACAGTTTGTAAGCGGTCGACAGAAACTACTTTCTTGAGCTGCGCAGCTGAGCGATACATTACCGCGGCGAAGTACCCTCGGTTGTTCGTCCCGGCCGTCTCACCGCACGTGTGCGTAGTAGCAGTACATATTATCTCGCCAAACTTTATCATTACACCATTATTTGTGCCCAAACGGTTTTTCGCTTGACGCCTTTTTTCGCCCCCCCCCCCCACCCCCCCGTGCGTGCGATCGCAGAGCAACAAGCCGCTGTACTCGTTTGAGGACAACTCGGACTACGTGTACGACGTGGCGTGGTCACCCACGCACCCCGCGCTCTTCGCCTGCGTGGACGGCATGGGCCGCCTGGACCTCTGGAACCTGAGCAACGACACAGAGGTCGGCGTGCCCCCCGCCCCCCGCCCCCCCGGGAGGCCTCTGTCATATCGGCCGAGCCGGCACGCGCCACCGGCTCGTGCCAACCGCGTTTAGAGCGCGATTCCAGAGGAGGAGGTGGCCGGGGAGGCTCGGTGGCAGGGGATTCGCGGTGGTGGCTAGGAGATGTTAACTACCTCGCCTGGTCTACAGGAGGTCGTAGGTTCAATCCCGAACCCTGACGCCTGCTGCTGTATATTTGGAGTTTGCGTGTCTCTCTGTCTCATCATCATCACGGTGGCTAGGAGATGTTAACTACCTCGCCTGGTATACAGGAGGTCGTAGGTTCAATCCCGAACCCTGACGCCTGCTGCTGTATATTTGGAGTTTGCGGTGTCTCTCTCATCATCATTTTCACGGTGGCTAGGAGATGTTAACTACCTCGCCTGGTATACAGGAGGTCGTAGGTTCAATCCCGAACCCTGACGCCTGCTGTATATTTGGAGTTTGCGGTGTCTCTCTGTCTCATCATCATCACGGTGGCTAGGAGATGTTAACTACCTCGCCCTGTCTACAGGAGGTCGTAGGTTCCATCCCGACCCTGACGCCTGCTGTATATTTGGAGTTTGCGGTGTCTCTCTCTTATCATCATCATCACGGTGGCTAGGAGATGTTAACTACCTCGCCTGGTATACAGGGGGTCGTGGCTTAGATCTCGACCCTGATGCCTGCTGTATGTTTGTAGTTTGTGGTGTCTCTCTCCCCGTGGTCGCGTGGATTTTTCTCCACATGATAAGCAACTTCGTTGAGCAATCATTTGTGGCCAGGTCGCTTCTGAAATACCTATATTGCTCACTGGGACCTTACCTGGTAAAATAAAAATAGTTAATAGTTTTAATAGTTTATTCATGATGGTCGTGTCAAAGGTACTGTGTCGGCAAACGCTGAGAACCTGGCTTCGAATCCGGGTTTCGGCAGCAGGTGACTACACCGGGTTCTCAACCGTAGTTCAGTTGATGGTCGTGGCCAAAGTCACAAATGACTCCACGTAAAAAAAACAAAACACACAGGTCCGTTTAGTCTAGCACTGAGGATTATGTTAGGTTTGCTTCTCGTGGTCGTACGTCACCGAGCACGACTGATCTCCAGCCGTGTGGGATTGGGTGACGGTGGTGTGTGCGACGGGTCTGCGACTTTGGGCCGTGCATTTCAGACACTTTCAAGTTATGGGTGATCATCGGTATAATCCGGGAAGTGGCCCAATGAAGGTTTGAATTAATAATGAAATAGACTGCCCGGTAGAGAACGTGGCGGAAGTGAGTGTCGTAGATGCGATTTGGTAACAAAAAAAATAAAACACTGCGCTCGGTTGGTTGGTTGGTGGGTGGGGACGCATGTTGGGTCCGTTACCGAGACGCGGGCACCGGAGCGGTCTCCCCCGAGTCCGGCGACCGTGGGGAAGAGAAAACCCGAGAGCTGACGAGATGGTGGAGGTTGCCGCGTGGCTCCCGTGCAGCAGGAGCGGTAGCAACGGCTGCAGGCTACAAAGCATTGGCGAAGTTGAGTGGTGGTGGCTTTGGCCGCGACAGTGACACCTTGGCCTTGCGGTTCTCCCACAATGGAGGAGCGGCGGGACAGCGGTTAGCACGCCGACCCCCAAAATCCGGCGGCCCGAGCTCGATTCCCGCCCATGGCCACCAACACCGGTGCCGATTTATGTGATCCGGTCCTGGGCCCTCCCGTGGGTTGACTCGGCCACAAATGAGTTCCTGGAGCGGTGTGTGGTAAACATCGCCTGCTCGGGAGACAAAGGCAGCCGGGCGCGGTGCTGGCCACCAGAACCTCTCGTGCCGTGCCGGTCTGCATAGGTGCCACTCGCTGCCAGCGCTCGCCCCAAGTCCGTTAGAAGGCTGCATGCACGGGGGATCATTGTCTTTGTCCTCCTGCAGGTGCCCACGGCGAGCGTGGTGCTTGACGGGGCGCCGGCGCTGAACCGCGTGCGCTGGGCCCAGTCGGGCCGCGAGGTGGCCGTCGGTGACGCAGAGGGGCGCTTGTGGATCTACGACGTGGGAGAGGTGAGGCCTCGCTGCCCCGCACGCACGCACACACACGCGCGCGCACACACGCACGCACGCACACACACACATGCATACGCGTGAGCCTTGTGCCCTTTGCTGCGATCAAATCTAGACACGGTGACGAGATGTTACATCCCTCGCCTTGTATGTCGGAGGTCGTGGGCTCGCTCCCGACTCTGATGCCTGCTGCTGTATATTTGGAGTTTGCGTGTCTCTCTCCCCGTGGTCGCGTGGATTTTTCTCCAGGTTCTCCGTCTTTTCCTTCCACAATTAGAATCGACGTGTGTTCAGAGTATTTGGCTGATATAAATTTCCACGTGATGATGATGATGATAAGCCACTTTGTTACGCTATCGTTTGTGGCCAGGGCGCTTGTGAAAAATAGCTGTATATTTCAGTGGGCCTTACCTGGTAATAATAAAAAAACAGTTTATAGTTTCATCTTCTTTGGTTCTTTCGGTAAAGTCACGTAGAATGAGAATAAAATAATAAAATAACACAATCAAATTCTCACGACGTTTCGGGCCACAACGCAAGCGGCCGGCGTTTCGGCGTTGTGGCCGAAACGTCGTGAGAATTTTACTGTGTTATTTTATTATTTTATTCTCATTCTACGTGACTTTACCGAAAGAACCAAAGAAGATGAATCCTTGCAGTCACGAAAGCTTTGAATCGAAGTTCATAGTTTGTATAGTTTATAGTTTAATCTGGTGATGATGCTGTTATTGCCTGCATTAGTTATGCTGGTGCTGCTTGTGTTGCTGGTGGTGCTGTTGCAGGTGGTGATGCTGCCCGGTGGTATCGCGACAGATTCCGCTATTGCCGGTGTTGCATTGACGTTGTGCACGTTGAACTTCTTTCGCACCGTACGTAGCCAACCGCGCCAAGTCGGAGGCGTGGGGGATGGGTAACAAACTGAACGTTCTCAAGAAAATGAGTTCTCAATCTAGACGTCGCCATTTCCGGTGCTCGCGTTGCACTTGCGCGTGTGTGGCATCTTTGCTGCCGGGAGCCGTTCTCCATGGTGGTGTTGGCGGCGACCGTGGCGGGAGTTGGCGCTCGCTCCAGACAATACGACGTCGTGTGTTGACGGGTTGCCTGGGGGCGGGGGGGGCCCCTTTTGTCCCTTGTGCATGTGCGCTGCGACCCAGCACGTGGCTGTGCCGCGGCCCGACGAGTGGACGTCCTTCGCCAAAACGCTCACGGAGCTGCAGGCGAACCGCGCCGACGCCGAGGAGGAGGCCGCCGCCAAGCTCACGGCCGCCCCCCTCTGAGAGCCGCCGCGCTCAACCGCGCCCCATAGCGCTTAGGCTCCTCGACCCACCCGACGCTCATCTACCCCGCGACTACCATCGCCCGCCACTCGCCGACTACTACTACACTACCACGTCGTCGTCACCCCCCCCCCCCCCCCACTCGTCTCGCCACCAACCCACCGCGCAACGTTAATCACGAGCCGGTTGGCTCGCCCCTCCCCGCGCAGCCACTCAACCCACATCTCACTCCCTTCTCTGACCACCACTCTCCTACCCACACCATCACTCCTCTCACTTCTTCGCTCCACCCACCCCACCCAACCCCACCACTCCCGTCTTCCCTTCCTGCACGCACCCCTGAGTCTTAGGACCGCTTTATACGCGATGCCGCAATAGGCCGATGTGAGCAAGCAGACCCCGATGCGCTTAACCGACGGTGGCCAAAAAGCAAAGAATTGCACGCAGGCATTGTTGTCGCTTTGCGTCTACTGGGAATAGAGGATTGGGGGGGGGTTAGAGTCTCGCGCGGGTTAAGTTTGCAGTTAGGTTCACGGTTAAGTTTGGTGTTGTAGTTAGAGGGTGGGTTTGGGGCGAAGGGTTGGGGTCGGGGTTAAACAACCCCCACCATATCTGTCGCAGAACCATCCGCCACACCACCACCAGCGAAACCGCGTGCGATTCGAACGGAGTTCCAGCTAGACTGCCCGCTGTGTCTGCCGGGGTCACGGAAGAAGGGGTCAGCCTCTCCGTCCTATCCGCTCCAAGCGGGGGGGTTGCTGCGATAGGATCCCTTTGCCGATGCGGTGCGGCTGTTGAATTTCATGACGCTTGTTCCCTCAACGCTTGCGACTGAACCGCCTTTGCTTACGTCGCAACTTTGTTACCCCTCCGACGATTACAGAGCACTTAAAGGGTTATTCCTCGACGGTTCGCTCAACCGAAGCCGTCTCGTCGCTGCAGCTGTACAACATGCGTTGCATGCGCTGTCAGAAAATGCCCCAAGTGTATCCAGCAAACATTTTACAGTGCACCGGTCTTGTGGGCAACAGCTCTTTGTTTAGACCTTTAATTGCCGTTGTCATCAATTATTGGTATTTTATAAAACATTTGGTGTCAGGAATTTTTACTTTCAAACGTATTTATATATAAAAAAAAAATCGAGCAAGGGTGACGATATTGCGCAGCAGGCCATCGGGGGGGGGGGGTTGGGGAGCCCCCCCCCCCCCCCCCCCCGAGGATTCACGGAGTGGCTCCGGTGACGGACGTGGGTGGGACACCTCGCCCCCCCCACGCATGGAGCCGGGCGACGATGGGGTGAGGTGGCGGATGGTGGCGGGGGGGGGGGCGGGGTTGCTACGTGCGACGCGCGGCCATCGCGGTCGTTTTAGGCTTCGCTGCCGAGGGCGGTTCGTTCCTCTTAGCCCCCGCTAAAACTCACCGCCCCACCATTCCCTCCGCGTCGTCACAGACGAGAGGAACCAGCGTCGGTCCGTCGGTCCTTCTGTGGCTACACGTGTGAAGCCTTGTAAAACATTCGGCTTGCCGACGTGGTGGCGATGGCCGCTCGGCCTGACGCGCACGCCACGAATCTCCCTAACCCTCCAGTAGCAACCCCCGGGACCCCAGCCAGCCAGCCGAACCAATGGGGCGCCCTCGCCGCTATGGTCGGCACGTGGGACGGCTTGCGATTGGCTGGGTGGACGGAGGTCGCCGGAGCTGAACCCCCCCCCCCCCCTCCCAATGCAAGGTCGGGGGCTGGATCGCAATGAAGCATCTGGACACCAGCAAAAATACAGGAGGTAGGGATCTCAGTTGTTGTGTAATGAACTCTCTTAACTGGGTCCTTTGCAAGCTTCCACAGGGCAGGTTTTAATGTGACGCACCCGTCCACACACGCACGCACAGCTGATGTATCGTAACTAGGTTTATCGATGGATTATCAGAAATAATGCATGATGGAATTAATAGGAAAAGATGGGTTTGCAAAAGCGGCCCTTTGTGAAGTGTCGTGGATAAGTGGTGTGTCTATAAAATACACCGTAGCTTTTTTATTACCGTCTTTAAAACTTCAAATTAAAACCTCAACAAAACAAACCTAGCAAGCCAGGCCTACAGGTGCTCCTAACATATGCATGTAAACCACCCGCAGCAAATGCAGATACAAATCCTACAACTTAGCGCTTGTGTGTCCGTAAGTCATTTTCAGTCATTGCGACGCATGAAGACAACTGGTATTAAGGCATCATCCGCCTTTGCTTGAATTACGAATCGTCAGAAATGCTCGACCGGGTTGGTTAAAAAAAGAGTTTCCAGTAAGAACGGTGTTGAGAGTTCCGTATGCGCGTGTGGTGCTGGTCGGGATGTGTGTGTGTGTGTACGTTTAACTTCTTTCACACCGTACGTAGCCGACTGCACTGATCGGAGGTGTGGGGGGCCAAGGACGACAAAAGAAACACAAAACGGCAGAACGAAAGGAATGAGTTTTCCATGGAGGGAGTGAGTTTTCAATCGTTTGCGAGACCGCACGCTCGACGTCAAACTCGGTGGCGGAGCAAACGCGTGGATCGCGGGAACAAGCGCCGAATCAAGAGACGTGGCAGCCACGATTTAAGAAAAGCTCGCGGATGGGTGTTGGCGAGACACCACAGCTCGGGACGGCGACCGATGGATGAGATGACACGGAGTGGCAGGCGAAGGAGAGGACGCCCATCAGCGGAGATGGAGCGACGGGATTGGTTCCGTGCGCCGGCGTGAAGATGGATGGTGGCAGCACTGTACCGGGAGGGATGACGTTTGGGAGGCCTTCAACAAGCAGTGGATAGACCTTGTCTTGGCGATGATGATGATGATGAATGGTCATGTTGGTGCACGCTTGTCTTCGGAGGCAGGGTTGGTGGATCGCACGGAGATAATTGTGTGTAGGGAGACGCTCGCCCACAGGGCTACGTGCGGCTGACGGCTTTGCAGTGCATGTCCCCTCGTGTTTATGGGGATTTTCTCCGTGAACTAGGAGCTGTAGCAATTTGTTGATCCATCATTACAGACCTTTTTTTCTGTCAGCGCGTGATACATGCATCCAATGACCCCGACGCGTTAGAGTACCAACGCGGTTTGTTTTTATTTGTACGAGTTAACACGCGATATGTCCTCGTCACCTCTGCAGCCACTCGTGGGCCACTCCATTCGCCGCAATGTTACAAAAAAGTCGATTCTGGAATCCAATCACGGGGGCTGGGGGGGCGTAGTTGAATAGAAATGTTACACCCCCCCCCCCGTCCAACTGGGCCAGTGGAGTTTCCTCCCGTACGCAACGGCGCTAATTGACGGCACAAACTTTTCAACGTGGCAGGGGACCAGTGGTGGAAATGGGCCAGAACGCCATGGTAGCAGTGAAAATCTGAACCCCGTGACTGCGTTCCGGAAGGAATCGAGGATTAATTATTTGACTCGCAGATAGATCCCCCCCCCCCTCCCCCCTCAAACTAACAAGAGAGACCCACAAGAGACCCACAGACACGCATAAATACCCACGGACATACGCAGAGACCGACAGACACGCACAGAGACCCGCACACGGAGCGAAGCTCTTCACATCTCGGGTACACTCCAGATTTAGTGGGGGTGGGGTCGGGGGTCATGTACGAGTCCCCCCGGTCATTCCATTTCCAGCCCTGGGCAGGACCCTCGTGCGAGACTCTCCCGTGAACGCCAGTGCCGTCACGGGGATGGATGAATGGCACAATGCATTTGCTGCGCCAGGATTCACTAATTCCGTAGAGTTATTTTGTTCTCCGTATCGGATGGTGTTCGTCGTTTCACGGGGAGTTGAGAGAGGCGAGTAGAGAGGCCAGCGGTTCGGTTTCCTGCTTTTAAACTGCGACACAAACCGAAACTGCTGGCCTTGCGCGCCCTGCCTTTAAAAAAAACAAAACTCAACTTTAACAGTAACGTTCCGTTGAAAGCGATCCTTTTGCATACTTCTCCAGGGAATATATTACACGCTGGACCAACGGAAGGTCCGGCACGGGCCGTTTCCCGCCGTGCACGTGGGCCACGTTTCGCGTCCACGTGTGCGTCACGTGCACGTGACCCACGCGCGCGTCGCGTGGCCCACGCGCGCGTCACGTGACCCACGTGTCTTGCCGCCGCGTGCTTTTTGTGCGCCGCGTCGTTGGGGCTTTTTCCTGCTCACAAGCGTGCTTTATGTCTTCTCCGAGCCTCAGTTTGCAGTCATCTGTTATTATTATTACAAAGGTTAATCTGCTTTGTTAATAAGGACTAAAGTCATCTGGGATCAGAACCCCTCTGCCAGTGCCCCACCCGCTTGCCATTGAGATGCTGATTATAATATTGACACAACTATGTACGTTATAATAGCAATTAATGTAATTATTCACCGTTATTTGTTAATCTTACTGCTGGGTTAAGACATTTCCCACGCCGTCAGTCATGGGGGTTGTTTGACCGTACTTCACCACGCTGGTCAGTGCGGTTTGGTGATGGGGGGTGGGGGGGCGAGACTGGTTCAGATATCATTCGGTGCAACTGGTGTTGGCCGTGGCCGGGAGTCGAACTTGGAGAGCCAAGTTCGTCGTGGTGCGGTGTGCGAACAACACCCCCATCGCCCCCCCCCCACCACCCCGTCCGCCAAATCATTTTGAGTAAGATTCCCAATATCAAATACGGTTTGGCATGTACTAAACAATATAGCATTTACACTACGAAAAACTTGGCACGCAGTTCGTCACATTGGCCATCATTGTACAGTTGAAAAGTTTGACGCGAGCGTAAAAAAATTCAAATCGGCTTTGGTTGGCAACGTCCGAGTTATTGTCTGCGTGACGTTTGCTCGCGAATTGGCCATGGATGTATTGAATGTAGCATTTTTGCAATGATGTTTAAGCAACCACAATTGACGTTTTTTTTCTCCTCCGGTTTTTTGATATAAAACCTCAAAAAAAATATTTGTTGGGAATTATCGGCAAATAATGATTGATCCTTCCACAATAATACTCAATAAAGGCAAGAGAAACTGAACGCGCGCACGTATTTACTGGGCTTAAAACGATTCAGCTGTTAAGATGCCTAATTAAGGAGTGTACCGACTGGTGCATGCAGAGGTCATGGCGATGACCCGGCACCGCTGAGATATGGGTTCAAATCCAAGTGATTCAATCTGGTTCTCGAGTGTAGCGATGTGTTGATGAGTTGTTGATGGTCTGAGCCAGGTCACCATTGACCTCACACACACACACTGGCTCAGAGGTCATAGCGATGACCCGGCACCGCTGAGATTCCATGGGTTCAATTCAAGGTGGTTAACCCGGCTTCTCGAGCGTAGCGATTCATCATTGCTGGTCCCAGGCAAGTCATCGGTGATGGCGCGCACACAACAACAAAAGGAAACCCCATCGCATTCAATTTGTTTCAGCGATGCCGACTCTCGTCGTGAGCGTCTCTTCTCTGCCATTAGCGGCCAGCCTCTGACAATTCAAACGTCCGTTTGACCGTCACGTAACGAACCCCCACCCGCCCCCGGCTCTCTCATACGCAGATCGAGCGGAGATTTGTTGCCCTCTGGAGCTAAAGAGTAGGCTGGGCACTCGGAGGGGACTTCGGTGAGATATCCGCTGCCATGGGGGCTGTAATCCAACGCGAAGTGGTCGCACAGCTGCAGGCAGGACCCGTTGCAAAGGTTTCCTTAATGCTTTTTTTTCGCACGAGGGTATTGGAGGCGCGAGCGCCGTCCGCGTTACTGCGCGTGGGTTTGGAGAGCCGGTCGCTTAACTGAGCGTGGCCTATGGCATTTGAGCGCACGTGTGGCTTGAGATGGACCCGCTGCGAATTTCCTCGGCAACACCGGTAGAAGCCGATGGCACAAGTTCCGGAAGAGAACGCGGCGTAAGCGAGTGTCCCCGATGCGATTTGGCAACGACAACAACAACAGCAAAACGCGCTGGGGTGGTGTTTGGTGGGAGCCGTGTTGGGGGTAATGGGGGCAGGGTCCGTTACCGAGACACGGGCACCGGGAGCGGGTCTCCACGAGTCCGGCGACCGTGGGGAAGAGAAGACCCGAGAGCAGACGAGATGGTCTGATGAGACTTGCCAGGACCCCGATGCTGGAGGTCACTGCGTCTCTTCTGTTGTGCAGCAGCAGCAGCTGGCGGAGGTGTTCTAAGTCGATCGCACTGGCAACGAGGATGTGTGGTGGTTTGGCGTCACCGGCGTTCGTCACGGCGACGTCTCGGATCTTGAAGGCATCGAGAATCCATACCCTTTGTTTCTTTCGGTAAAGTCACGTAGGTAGAAATGAAATGAAGTAAAAACAAATCACGACGTTTCGATCGCAGCGCAAGCAATCTTCATCAGGTGGAACAACCACAGCAGGAAAAAAATGCTGAAGTAGGCGAGAGAGCTGCCGTGGCAAGAGGTTATATAGGTGAGAGAGGGGGGAGGGGCAAGGGGGGAGAGAGAGGGGGGGCTGCGTGAGCGCTCGGGGGAGAAGAATTGAGGCTGGGGGGGGGGGGGGTGAAGTGGGCGGAGCTAGAAGTGGGTGCTGAGTGTGAGACACGGGGGGAAAGTAACTCGGAAAAATCTGCTAGTACCCGGCTGGTATGATGGAAACAACCACAACCAGTTAGGGGCCGTCCATAAATGACGTCACGCACTTAGGCGGGGTCAGACATTTGTGACGATGGGGGTTGGGGTGAGAAATGTGACGTCACATCAAAACGCGCAACTTTAAATAAATATAGACAACACGTTCCACTTAATTAAATATACTTTTTAATAAATGTTTTCTCCTACACCATCAGAGTGCAGCGCCACATTAAATACGCACTGCAATGACAATAGTTGAAAGCGATGTGAAGCATGATTTATATTTTTTTTGGGGGGGGGGTGGGCAGAGCTTTGTGACGTCATATTTGAGGGGGGGGGGATCTGACTTTTTGTGACGCCGTGTGACGAAGAAGAAGGAGGGGGGGGGAGTCCAAAATCGTCCAAAATCGCGTGACGTCATTTATGGACGGCCCCTTAAGCCTCTACCTGGTTAACAAGCTTCAAATCAAGATTGCACCGAGAATTGTCGCGCTGCGATTCCGCTGCCCGGCGATTGTTGCTCGGGATCCCCCTCCCCGTCGTGCCTCGCCGGTCTCAACACCCAACACGACGCCAACCGTCCAGCCAATGAGGAGCGGGCCGCGTGCCTGACGCGGCCTCAACGATGCCCCCGAACCGTCGACGTCATCGCGAAACTCCCCGCCGCTGTCGCTGTTGCTGCCTTCGCCCCCCTTAAAGGGGGAGGATCGATCGGACGTGATCCACTCTGGCTTCTGAGCAGACAACTGATCCGGGCTGAACGACAGATTTATATATATTTTTTTGCGAACCAACCCCATCGACAACACAAGCCGCCTGTGTTATGGGTGATTATTTGGTCGCGAAATCCTACGCGTTACACTCACCAATCTAAACTCACACTTTAATCCGCTGTTATTAATCCATACGGCAGAAGCAGACAGCCACTGCAAAGAGAGCGGGGTGGGGAGACACCGCTCGCATTGGCCGGGATCCAGTGAAGAACCGTCGTGTCTCCTCCCCCGTGCGACGTGAACGACTGGAGCATACGTCCCCATCGCCATCCTTGTCGTCAACGGGATTAGTGCATCACGAGGACCAAATAGTTGCTGCTGCGTTTGCCGGCGTTGATGCTCAGCTGAACCCGCGGAGCGAGCTCTGAACAAGGAATCATCGGCACGCCGCTAAACGCGCTGTTGATGGCACACCGGGAGCCAATGTAGTTCGGGCTGCGCCGGGTGGTGGAGGTTGTCAACGACACACGCACATTTCGCCACTCTACTTCTGTGGCTTATCTGTGCGTCACTGCCAGTGCAGAAGCGGCATCACCCAGATAATTTGAAGAGAGAGAGAGAGGGAAAAAAAAAGAAATTCCAGACCGTGACGTGACTTAACCCAAACATCGATGATGAATTTATTGGCTGCGTAACTCGTCGTGTGAATGAGTCAGGACGCAATCAGGCGAGATGGGATGATGGCCGAGTGCCAAAATAAATTCCAGGAACAGTGCTCCGGACCTGCGGCAGCGATACGAGCAGCCAGACTGTGAATAATACATGGGGGTTGTGACTCGATCCGTGCGTGCCGCTGGGAGCGGCGGCGCAGCGGTCGGCGGACGCTGCTGCGCTACGAACCCTGGTGACTAGGGCCCCACGCTGGTCCACATTCAGAATCAACGTGCGTTGAGCGCATTTGGCTGCTTTACATTTCCACGTGATAAGCCACTTCGTTGAGCGTTGAGAGTATTTGGCTGCTATAAATGTCCACGTGATAAGCCACTTCGTTGAGCGTTGAGAGTATTTGGCTGCTATACATTTCCACGTGCTAAGCCACTTCGTTGAGCGTTGAGAGTATATGGCTGCTATAATTGTCCACGTGATAAGCCACTTCGTTAAGCGTTGAGAGTATTTGGCTGCTAGAAATGTCCACGTGATAAGCCACATCGTTGAGAGTTGAGAGTATTTGGCTGCTTTACATTTGCACGTGATAAGCCACTTCGTTGAGCGATCATTTGTGGCCAGGTCGCTTCTGAAAAATAGCTGTAGAGCTCAGTGGGCCTTGCCTAGTAAAATTAAATCGTTTAGTTTTAAATTGCTACTTCCCGAGTTCAATTCCTCCCCACGGCCACCAACACCGATGACGAATATCTAAAACCGGTTCCCATTGCCTCCTGCCCTCGGTCGACTCGGCCTTAAATGAGCTGTGCAGAACATCAGCACTGGGGAGACAAAGGTGGCGGGGCGTGGTGCTGGCCACCGATGCCCTCGTGCGCCGCTCCGGCCTCCATAGGTGGTGCTGCTCGCGAGACAGCACTTGCCCAGACGGCCCGTCAAAGGCCATACGGGGCATCTGTGCCTTTGTGGTCGTGTCGTTCCGAGGGTCAGTTTTTTTGCCGAGCAATATAAACCCCATTAACAATGAGTCACGCAGCGCATTTACGCTGCATCGACTAAGCCGTCATTCAATCGGACCGTATGATGTCACGCCTTGGCTTTAGAGTGCCCTTTAAAAGGGGCCTCTATTCTCATCGCGAGCTTTGAGTAAGGCGGCGGCTGAAGGGGGCTATGTTACCTTCCATACTCTCAGATCGATGGCGTTCCTGCACTGCTTTTAAATCGCGGTCATTTTCCCGAGCGGGCGTTCGGTTGGGCGCTCGTAATGTTTTAAATTGACTAGGGCGCTCGCGAGGTTTGTCACGAAGTTTGACAATTTGTTCGAGTCGAGGGGGGGCATTTTCATCGTTCCTCCTCCCGTCTTACTGATCAACCAAAATCCATGCCCAGGACGCGCCGAGCTTTTTATTTCATTGGCTCTTGTCGGGTGGCAGAGGAGGGTACAGCAGAACAACGGCATTGTACTCCTCCACGCGACGATTTGTCCCAAAGAGTAACGAGATCCGTGAGTCACGAGACTGGTGTCGTGAACGCCTTCGGGCAACATTATCCGGTGATGATGTTGCTGCTGTTGCTGCTGCTGCGTCAGCAGCGGTGCAGAAGCACAAATAAGCAGCAGGCACAATCAGCGTTCCGTGTTATTTCCAACACCGTGTGTGTGGCCTTCAAAGGAAATAATAGGAGACGTTTCAGGCATTGGTCCTTCATGGCACGTTCATGTCCACCCGTAATCATGTTCCATGAACAAGGGCCAGTGCCCGAAACGTCGCCTATTATATATACACGCCGTGTTATTATTGACGAATGTGTTGCGTTTGTGTTGTTTGTGTTGCTTGCTCTAAGGTACTTTAAATATCTCATTATTTGTTTAAATTAGTTTTTTGTTGTTGCGAAGAAAGATCGGACTGGACCCAAGAAAGAGCGGTGCGCGAGATGCCAAGGGAAGAAAGGGGGTAGAGATGAGAGAGAGAGGGACGATCAATTGTGTCAAAGGCTGCAGTGAAGGTCAATAAAAAAATTAGAATGGAATAAAGACCCGGCATGCTTAGAGTTGGGTAATTCTGG